ATCGTTCGGGTTGGAACCGGCCCCAGCTGAGCCCTGGGAACACCGCTAGAGACTGGCCACCAGCTGGAGTTAACTCCCTTCACCACTACGCTTTGGGCCCGGCCCTCCAGCAAAGGGAATCATGGAATGGTTTGGGTTGGAAGGGAATCCCCTCCCTGACCTGCTGCTCACGCTCTGGGGGTGCAGCCCCGCATACGCACACACTGAAGCTGGGTCATGGGGAGCTTCTCCTCACCCAACACCCCCAAGTCCTTCTCCTCAGGCTGCTCCATCCAGTCTCCCCCAGCCCGTGTTTGTGCTGGGATTGCCCCGACCCAAGGGCAGGACCTTACCCTTGGCCTTGCTGAACACCGTAAGGTCCGCACATTCCCACTTCTCCAGCCTGTCCAGGTCCCTCTGCATCCCATTCCTTCCCCCCAGCGTGACGACCGCACCACCCACCTTGGTGGAACTCCCCTGCTCTGATGTGGAACGCGCCTTCCAGTGGGAAACTGGAGTTTTCCACTTCCCGGCCCTCTAGACCCGGTTTTGAGGAGCACTATCCAGTGATAAGCCCCTCAGAGGATCAATTCCACCAAGTCCCGGCTGTGAGAAGCCCAGGGCTACCCCAAGGAACAAAACCAAGGACAACACTGGTTCTAACTGCACTGTCTTCTCAAGCACCACAACAAAACCAAACAGCTTCAGGGAGTTGTAAGAGAACTGGGGGATTGTTTTCCTGGGAACTTTGCCTTGTTCAGAACCAAAACTGGGATCTGGCGAGTTTTCTGCACTCAGTTTTCAAGCTTCTCGATCTCATCCATGTCGCCCGGCTCCAGCTGCTTGATCCTGGTCTCTGTCGGAAGGGAAAACAGAAACAAAACGTGTCAGAGCTTGGGAAAACGATCCCAGCGAGGCCAGGAGCCGGCGTTTGCACTGCCTGCATGCACCGCAGGCTGGGAAGCTCCCGGAGCTGGGAATTCCACGGAGCGGATCGAGGACGGATGCTGTGGAAGCGAGAGGCGGCCCAAGCGAGAGGCAGCAGCTCGGGTGAGGTCTGAGGCTCTGCTCCCACCTCCGAGGCGATGCTGGATGGGAAGAGGGTCGTTGTCCTCGTTGGGCAGCCCCGGCCTCAAGCCACGTCGTCAAAAAGCTCATCCGTTTGGATTTCCATCCCGTGCTGAGCTCCTCTGGCCAATTCCATGGTTGGACTCGGCCTCCTCGGTATTCCAGCTGCTCACTGCAGTTATCCAGTGCTTCTGCTGCTTGGAAAAGCCTTGGCCGGAGTATCTGGCTCACGTGTGCTCTGCCAGGCTCTGCCCCAGGCTCATTTGGGATTTGGAGTTAAAGGACAAGCTGCTGGGACAGTCGGGCAGCACTGAGGAAGAGACGTGGTTTTCCACACACCGAAAGGTTTTGATAACCTGCTTTTCCCTAAAAATCACACGGAAAACACACCAGGATTTGAAAAGCCACCGGTGCAGCCACAGCATCTCGCACATTCCATGAAAAACCCTCTTGATATTCCCAAGTGGAGTCTATTTCCTCTTGGGAAAGACTCATTTCAGCTGCCGGCTTCAATCCCGCAGCCAGGACACCATATGCCCGGATGCAGATTTCCCAGGTAAGGGTAGATAAAATGCCTGAAGCAGGGAAAACAAGCAATGCTTGAGGCATCCTGGGAATGTATAACATCCCTCTCAAGTCACACACAACTTCCTTGGCTGGAAACGTGGCTGCAAGGGAGTAAAAATCCCAACCCTAGAAGGGCGATGGGCTGAAGGAGCAGCCCAGCAAGGTCCACCCGAGCTGGGAAACAGGCTGGAAGTGGGATCCTCATCCCCAAACCACCCCAGGAGAGGTGGATACGGGTGGATACTCACGGAAATGCTCCTCTATCATCTCCACAAGCACTACGTCCTGGCTCTCCACCATGCTGAAGGCGATGCCGTTCTTCCCGAAGCGCCCCGTGCGCCCGATGCGGTGGAGGTAGGTCTCGAAGTCGGGCTCTCCCTGCTGGTTGGTGGGAAGGCTGAAGTTCACCACGATGGTGACCTGCTGCACGTCGATCCCTGGGAAGAGGGACACAGAAGGAGGGATCACCTCGCCCTGTGGGAGGGGAGGTGAGGGGCAATGGGATTTGGGGTACCTCTGGCACAGACGTTGGTGGCGATGAGGACCTTCTCCTGCCCGCTGCGGAAGCGCTGGATGACGTTGGCACGCTGGGCGACCGTCAGCTCTCCTGTCAGGATGGCAACCTGGTGTCCATCGTGGGTCATGGCCACTGCCAGCCAGTCGGCGCTTCTCCGCGTCTGAGAGAGGTGGGATGAGGTGCTGCTGTGGCTTTGCTGGCATTCCATCACTCCCAGAACACACTCCACTGATATTTCCCCATCCCACGTTCCCTGCTCCTTCCAGGGAGCTCTTGGTGCTTCCCAACACCTCAAATAAGGATACGCTTTGAGGGCAGGGACACACAGTGTGTTTCTGTGTCACACATGGACCTCCCCATGCTCCAAGGTGCTTCACCTGGCAGAAGATCATGGCCTGGCCGATGGTGATGCTGCCGTAGATGTTGCAGAGAGCTTCGTACTTCTCCTTCCTGCTCCTGCACACAAAGAAGTACTGCCGGATGTTGCTGAGGGTGAGCTCGTCCTCCCGCAGCTTTATCATGATGGGGTTGGAGATGATCTGCACGGCGAACTCCCGCACAGTTGACTTGAAGGTGGCTGAGAACAGCAGCATCTGGCAGCTCTTGGGGAGAGCCCTGGGGAGGAGGAGGAGGACTCGTCAGCCTGGCGCCTGGATGGCCTCGTTACAAGCGGGAGGAAAGGGTAGTTTAAGGTGATTCTGTGTCGCTGTAAAGGCTCAGAGGAAAGGGAATTGCGACAGAAGTCTTGGTGAGTGTCCAATGGACATGGATTTATGGAGCCACATCCCTGGAGTAAGCAAAGCAGAGGCACAAACGCCAATCCCACAGCAGCAAACCCCCTCCGC